TAAAAAGTTAGTATAATGAACTGATAACCCACCAATTAGAGATAATCACTATTAGTATTACTTATTTATTTCATTATAATTTGGAATGAAATAAAATTCCTATATTTATAATAATGACATTGAAGTCATAGTCTACTTAAGTTTTTATTAAAATTTTTATTTATAGCATTATATTTTCCCATATTATTAAATTCTATTTAAGAAACACGATTTATAATGACATAATAGTATTCCACATAAAAATACACATTTCAAAATCACCTGTCCATTTTCAGTAGTTTGTTTTCAATTACTTTTGTTATTGTATATATGTTGTGATAAATATCTCTGGGTGCTTCTTTATTTTCTTAGAATCAGAAAAACTTTAATGGATCAAAGGGAAGTAACATCTTTTAAGGCTTCTAATAAACATGGTTTAAACTTGAATTAAAAAATTTATCTTGCTAAATAAGTCTCTAATTATTTTGCTGTAAAACATAATAAAACAAATCTCTCAAATTATTTGTAGTAATGCCTAAACATTTAGTTTTTGAGTTATAAGAATTTAAGACAATTTGAAATAATATCAGTATAGAACTGAATATAATTTTTCAGTAAACAACTAAAACATCAAAAATTGTATTTCAAATGAGATCTTTTTTCTTACATGATGAAAAGGATATCTCATGGGGCAAGTTATCACTGAACTTTGGAAAATGGTATAAATTAATTTTTTAAAGAAATATTAATATGCTGGCTACATTTCCAAATGTTCATAAAGTTAAGAGCAGAGATATTTTAATTGCTTAGAATAGACACTACTAGGACTGTTCCCAAATATATTTGCCCAGATTGAACTGGGAACTATTTCCCAGCATGCTCCCAGCCACACACTGAACCAAGAAAACTCCCACTCCTCCCTTGACACACCCAATGGAACACAATGATTTACAAAGGAAATTTTACTAACAAGCAAAGTAAATAAAACAACTCACAAGAGATTTCCTTTGGAGATGAAAATACAAACACAGATGATCTTTTCTGATTACATATTTCTGAGACAGTGTGGACACTGAACAGCCATTTGAAAATTGAAGCAATACCTACATTAACAGAACAAGGAGGTTCCAGTACTTGAGTATAAGAAAACAGATAACTTAGGACAGGACATATTCTGAATCACTTTCTGGAAAGGCTTTGTTTATACATGGAGAGAAGTTAACCTTTTTCCAATAAGTGAGAGAGAATATTAAGATAAATCACTTTCTCACCACTATAATCAATGCCGAATCACATGGTATTACCTTGTTAATATTGGCATGCGACAACTCAGCATTGTTCTAAATATCTGTTTGTATTTAGTGGCATAAAATTGAGTCATTTTGAAATAAAAACTTACTTCAAAAGGTAGGTAGGTTTTTTTTGTTTGTTTGTTTGTTTTCTTTTGCTATAATTCAAATAGTAATGTACATGAATGCTTCTTTTTACTACCATTATAATATTATAATACTGTTCCCATAAGACAAACTTAGTTTTCCAATATAGAGTGATGGAGCTAATACTTCCAGGCACCTAAAACTTTAAAAAATTCCAACACTTCAAATAAGAAAAAGAATGTAGGTCAGGTCAGTGTTTTCCAAACTGTATTTAGGACACGAAATTATTACAGTGGGTCATGATCTTTTTTTTTTTTAAGAAAAAAGGGAGAGAAGAGAAAATATCACAATTATCATAGTGTATCTAAAATAGCAAGGTAAGTTTTATTTCACTGAACTTTGTGTCAGGAGATTTTGAGTACGACATAAAATATTTTCTTACTGTACTTTGATCAAAATTATTTGAAAAACATGGTTCTAGGTCCACCTTCCCCAGGGTTTTGAATTTTAAGTTAAAATGAAAATTATGCCCAGAATGAACAGCTATTATTCATTAGAACCTTTTTGCACATGTTTAATTTTCTTTTATCATTTATGCCTAGTTAAAAGTAATGCATAAATATGTACTACTCATAAATCAGTAACTGCTGTCCTAAAGAAAGTGATATACTGGGATAAAATCAAGGCATTTTGAAATAAAAACTTATTTCAAAATGTAGGTAGGGTTTTTTTGTTGTTGTTGTTGTTGTTTGTCTGTTTGTTTTTGGCTATCCATCAGAAAAAGCTGATGTTGCAACTTGGAAAATATTTTTATGGTAAGATAACCCACTCCATAAATCCAAGACTACTGAGTTTAACTGAATTTTGTAATTCAAGTCTACTGTTGATTACTAATGAGACTCTTGAAGACAGTAATCACAAGTTGGAAAGAAAGATGCAGAGACAGGGTGAACAACATATTAAACATTCTTTTACTTGTAAGATGTATTTAATATTTTAAATTAATTCCCAAAGAACAGCGTTGACCAAGATGGGAAAAAAGGTTTTTGATCCAACTGGGTTACGTTCATCCTGGACCACGGAACTTATTAAATAAAAACCAAGTTACCAGTATATATTACCAGTATCTGAGAGTCTCTGCATTACCTTCTCAGTGCACTACTTTATGTGTGTACACCAAAATCTTATCACTGGTTATTTTTCTTTTCTAGATTTTCTGCATTTTCTAAATTCTTTCAATCAAAATATTTAGCCAAAGGAGAAATGGACTGACATTCTTCAATGCTCCTGCTGATAAGAGTAGAGTAGCTGTGATACAGATACCTTTCCCTTTGTTAAAGCCAACATTAGAATCTTGAGTTAACTGTTTTCTCAGTGTTGCCACTTTACTGAATTATTTAGACATTTAATTGAATTTGATAAAATACGTTAAAAGACAGAGGAAATTATCTCCTATGGTTTCCATATGTACTTGTAGATTGAATGAATGAATATAAAATATAACTTTTTAAGATGGTTGAATTTTCTTTTTTTCCTCAACTAATCTTTCTCAAATTTGAGCACTTAGTTTCCACTGTGCATGTATGTTTTTGTGTGTGTATGTGTGTGTGTGTATGTGTGTATATATATAAAATGCTTGAAGCAGTAAGGTATTTGTACTGGATTATACAATACTATGGAAATCTTTAGATTTCATATCATTTTCAATTAATTTGCACAGATTCTTGGCTAAATTGACAAAAAAAAACTTCAGTCCATTTTTATCATCTTTAAGCAAATCTATTAAGGTGAATTAATTGTCATGTATTGGATTCCCTTGTTCATTCTATCTTTAATTTTCAAAATAAACACTGCTTAAATTAGGTGAGAGCATCCTGGAGTACTAAATTATACCAAATCAAATTAATACATGTTTATTGACCACTAGGGTTAGTATCTTATTCTTTCAAATATATTGGCTCCTGTTACATGGAAACCTACCAACAAATTGGGTCTGCTTAGAGACTGCAAGGAGAGAGGCCTTCATACTAATATTTTTATGTTTAGTCATCAGAAAATAATCACTAATCATAACAATATAATGTGGGAGTTTTTCAACTGTGGCAAACATTTGCTTTTGTTTTTTGTTTTTTCTGTTTTTCTGGTCTCTCCAGAAATTTTCAATTTGCTGTAAATCTCCCTAGGTATACTTGTAAAAGAATGCAGTGATAAAATATGACTAGACATTCAAGGAAAAAGCAAAACTAATAAGCAGAAATGGAGAAAGTGAATATCTAGGTATTTCCCAATAGCTTTTGAGTTCACTAATTTAGGCGCATCTCTGACATAACAGTTCCTTGTGGCTTCCTTGAATCCTTTCCAGCAATAGATCATACATTCAGGCCATACACAAACATAAAGCCTATTTTACAAGAAAATATATGTTCTATATCAGGGGATATTCTGTTAGTTCAAAGGGGTCAGAGTATTGAACTCAACAAATATGGGAGTGCACTTCTTACAGGTAATATTCTATAGGCTAGAGACAGAAGAAAAAGGAGCATGGAGTCTAGAGGGGAAATGAGAGGGACAAAAATCATAGTGTGTTCGAAACTGTGTCAGGGATATGCATGGGGTGCCATGAGTGTATATGGCATATTCAGAAATCAGAGTCCATGGTCACCCAATTAAGCTCTCTGTCATGACTCCTTTCAGTATCTGTTACATCTGTACTAAGTGTTCAGTAAATGTTAGTTTTCTCCATATCTCCCATTTCTAAGTAGTTCTTCACTATATATATATATCCATACACATACACACACACACACACACACACACACACACACATAGTATGACTGTTGCAAAGACTATCCCAAGAAAAATAGATGAAAACAGTTACTATTTATCAGTCCAATATTGAGACTAATTTTTCTTTGTTTATAACATCTCAATTTACAATATCACCTTTCTTTGTACTGTATTTATCAAAGAACATTCCAAGGTTGTGAAGTCTATTCAAATAACAGGAATATTGCCTAAGCTTCCACTTGTCATATCACTACAAAGCCAAATTTAAAATTATCCTATTTTTGGCTAAGCCAGTCTTCCATCAGTTGATACACAAATCTTGTCATTCTACCTCATATTCGCTTTTATTTTCTTTTCCAACCATTCGCATAATTTTAGCAAGATCATTTTGAAGTTCTGATTCCAGCACTGTAATATTCCATAAAGTTAAAATTTGTATAATCCTGTTACTAATAGTAAAAGGTACATGAATGTTCATAAAGAGAAAATATACCAGATACCATCGTGTTTTTAAAATAAACATTCTTTGTTTTCGAATATAAATTATTCACTTAAAAGAACAGCAATTTCTCTATTAAAATAAACTAGCATTGGTAAGGAATAGATTTTGCTTTTCCAATCTCAACCAACTTTCTCCTTCACCTATGCCTTGCTCTCTCAGCAACTTTCCAATTCAACTTGGAAAGCTGAATTTTCTTATTCAATCAGTACACACTGCAACCAAGTAAGTTTCTTGAAGACCTGAATTAAAACCTAATCCTGAGAATGTAACACCAGCAAAACCAAACCAAACTCCACATTAGCTTTGGAAATGGCAATCGAAGTTTCAGGAACAAATGTCAAATAGGCTTCACTGACCTGAGGAAATATCGATTTGACTCATCTTGGTCTGTGTGATGTTGATGTGAACACCCACTTTGCTTTCAGTGAGGTCAATCTCCACATTGCCCAAATTATCTGCAAAGTGACTGAAGACCAGGAGACCATTGGGGTTCCATGTCCTAAACTGGAAACTGACTGAGAACAGGTCCTGGTTAAGCCGTCCAGGTACCTCCAGGTAACTTGTAGCATTGAAAAAGACAGGCACTGTATAGGGTTCCACACAAGAGAAGCTCAAATTTCCCTGTAAAATAGAAAGACAGGCTCTGAGGAAAACACAGAATAAAATAAACATCCATATAAGACCATTGATGAAGGTATAGTTCTACAAGTTTTGAAGCACAGCCCGAGCCTAAGTGAAATTCACATGCAGCAGCAGTGCATAGATTCAGTGACTGGATGCACCACCATGGATCTGCTTGGCGTGTAAGACCTACTATTGAGCAGCAGTTGGCTGTCTAACTGTAACAAGCAGCTTCCGCCATGGGATTGACAGCCAGACAGCCTGCTGTGATAGGCTGACGATGAGTTGTAAAGTGTGTATATGTGTTGTGGGTGTGAGTGTGAATCACGAGACTTTCTGAAGATAGCAAAGCTGCTGCTGGCCAAACATAAGTCAGGTAGAGAGATGCTATGCCCTATTCTGGGCGGTAAATGCTGACATTAATTAACATAGTACTCTGGTCTCAGTGGGGACTATGGTCGTATGTTTGTAATTTATGAAACTGATATTTTAGGGAAAATATTTTTGGATTGTTATCTATATACCTTGTATGTACATATATACATAGATAGATATTAAGTTTTCAGCATTAATGTAATTGTGGTTATTGGAGATTATTTTATTATCCAACTCAAAATTCCATTTAAATTCCCATGAAATGTGCTTATATTACAATGTATTAATTCCTGTGGAACTAGCAGTATAAATGGGCTAAATGGAAACAAATCTTGCAATAATTCAGGCTTTCCCCTTCTCTTCTATACATCTCCTTCTTGGTATAAACAAACAAACAAACAAAAAACAGAAAAAGCTTTATCATTCAGTTACACTAAATTTTATATTTCATTGCCTAACTACATTCCCTTTACAGATCTAAAAATCTGTATTTGCTTCTAACTTCTTTTATCCTATCATAATATTTTAAGGAATGTAATTGGATGATATTTTCATTGGCTCTCTCTCTCTCTCTCTTCCCCCTCCATATATATATGTATTTTTTTTAACAACACCTCATATATATATATACACCAGATGCTGATGTCTTCCATTTTAGCACATTAACCATTAAATCTAAGGCAGGCTGTCTCTCTGAATTAATATTCAAATTAAATTTGCTCTGTACGTTCACAGATGATTATTTTTAAATGCTTGCTTTTACTGATGAAAGAACTGCCTATGCATAATAACTGAGATTTTATAACTGACCACATACTTCTTTTGAGGGGATTGTCTCCCTAGCAAAATTAAAGATCCTGCCAGAGTAATGGTGCTGACTCTGGAGTCAGTGCATAATGAGGGAATGAGTGTGCTTGGGAGAAGAGGAGGTAGAATGAGCGCTGAGTCAATTTCATTGAAATATCAGCACCCAACATCTTTGAAAGTAAATTTCTTATATAAACACTTGCCTTTGTAGGGTTGCTTGCAAAATGTCCTATTCGTCTCTATCCCATCTAAGATTTTCTGTATTGTTAAAATAAAATGTAATTATAGAGCATAATCAAACTCACATATTGTGAATTCATAATCTTTTTTTATTCTTTTATTTTTGGGGGGACAGAGTCTCAGTCTGTTGCCCAGGCTGGAGCGTAGTAGTTCAATCATGGCTCACTGCAGCCTAAAAGTTCTGGGCTCAAGTGATCCTCCTACCTCAGCTTCTCAAGTAGCTGGGGTCACATGCATGCACCACCATGCCCAGCTAATTTTTAATTCAATTTAATTTATTTTTTGAATTTTAATTTTCTTAACTTGTTGTAGAGACATGGTCTCACTACATTGCCCAGGCTGGTCTCAAACTCCCGGACTCAAGTGATCCTCCTGCCTTGGCTTCCCAAAGTGTTGGGATTACAGGAGCAACCCACCATGCCCGGCTATAAATCTATAATTTATATCTCCTACTCATAAAATAAAATAAAAGCTATTTTTCTCATAAAATGAGTTTTTTTCCATGTTAAACCTCAATGTTTTCATCTACAAAATGTTTGTATCCTTCTTGTAGTATTGTTCTCAGATCATCTTAAATGTAAAATATAACTTGCCTAGCACACTACCTGTTGCCTATAAATGGAGCTATTATCATTTTTCCATGCAGTCAATATACTTTATGAGAAAACTTTAATCAAAGTTCAAGTTTTAATTTCCACTATAAATTTATGATTACTTTAAGGAAATTATTTATTAAATAATCATTTGCCTTAAGTTACTGTTTTAAACTTTCTCATATCCAACCAAAACTGTTTATTTGTTCAGGGATTTTCACTTGTCAAGTCATTTGATGAAACCCTAGGCTCAAATCTGAGGCAATGAGACCATCAGAGCTCTTTTAGAGCGGAGTGCAAACACTCATGACATTATTCTACTTCTAGTGCATAATATCTTCTTATTGTATGGGTCTCTGGAATTCTAGGCTCTCCCAAATAGGCTCTCTGGGCTGAAGCAGCTCCTGGTCTTGCAGAGCCATAGAGAACTCTCATACTAAAACTATAAACTAAGTGTCTTTTACGGATGTTGAGTAGTGTCATTTGGAAGCAGGTGTGCTGGGGCTTTCTTTGACTTTTGCTCTCCTTCCAAAATCTAATGAAACCGGGCACCAACTCACACAAGAGGCAGACAAAAATCACAGTGAACTTCTGGGGCACAACTTTTGCTATGCAGTGGAAATCAAGCTTTATTTAATTGTATAATATTTAGTCTGGTTAGAGATTTGTTAAAAAAAAAAAAGTATTTATTTACATGTTCAAACAAATCATCTTTGGAAGCACAGGAGTAAATATAACAAAGTCCCTGATTAAAAAACTTTAAAAATATTAAATTAAACCATAAGCAAGTAACTTAGAGCATATGTGATGAGATATTTGAAAACATGATGCTGCCGGTTTAAGGGCTGCTAACTGCTGGGATGAAGCATGTGCTGAAGTGTATCTGTTCTCCTGCCACAAGTTATCCAGAAATATTGCGTCTGACGTTCTGTGCTCCATGGGAATAAAACCTACCACCTACTAAGGGCTCCTCCCATTTTCTATTCTCAAAGAATAGCAAGTATCTACACTATTTCTGGAAACTCCAATGTTCGTTTTACATCATTGTGCCCAAACATAAATATGATGAAAAATGTCATGATTTTGTTGTTGTTCAATACTCCAAAAAACAAAAAAAGTTACTTGATTTTTTATAGACCAATATTTTGAGGATGAAAATTCTTACCACATTTGAGGGCTCTAATTTCTTCCTTCTGGCAAGATCAGTAATGTTGATGCCGTTGTAGTTGATGCTTTCCATGCAGCCTTTGAAATTCTTTCTACCGCTGGAACTGGGCTTGCCAGAAAAAGGGATGCCTCCAAAGGTTATCTTTGAGAAAAAGAAATTAAATGTAAACATCCACATTGTGTTGTGATAAACTAGACAAAACTATGAATACAGTCAAGGTCAAGTAGCTATACCCCAATCAAAATATACAAATATTATAGCATTCTGCCTCCAAAATCCATGGCATATTAAATTACATTGTTGATGAAGTGTCTAATGGAGTCATTCGTTCTAATAATTAGATTATAACTTGAACAAAAAAATAGTAATGATCCTTTGCAATTTTGCTGCCCCAGAGGCATTTTATAACTTTTCTTGAGAATATTTAAAAGATTTTTTATTCAGCAAACTTCTTTTATCAAATAATATTAGACATATATTTTTATGTTTATCATTCAAAGACATACTATCAATAAATGCCTCCAGTAAGCATGAGATAATCAGCACTAATTTAATAAGCTGATAAAACTGCAGCCCAAAGCAAGGGATATCGTATTTACCCTATGCAGACTTGTAGTCTAATGACCATGATTGTCAAAAATTCATTAGATTTATTTTGGATGTAGAAAATAGCTCAAAAAATATCATTACAATATTGATTAGGGACCACTTAGGATCTGGGAACTCAAAGTTGAACAGTGTGGGCTTAAAGATATTATAGGTCTTTTAAATCCTAAGAAATAAGATAGTGCTACTGACTGTGTTCCTCTGGCTGCTACCGCTTATAGAAAGAAAATATCTATTTCTTACATATTTTTGATCAATATATATTATAGCATTAAATCTACATGACACAAAATTGCATTTAGTATTTTCATGGTGAAGGATGATATTCACTATGAATAGTAAGTTAGTAGTAAATGAAGCCAACTGCTAAATATAATTATAATATCAAGATATACGATACTTGTAATACATATCTTTTAAATTATCATATAGAATTACCATTATCTATTTTTTTTTTTTTTACTATCAGCTTCATTAAAATGCCAGAAAATATTCTGTGGTCCAACCACTTCATTTTCAATGATAATATATAACTATAAAGAATCAATGACAGCCTAATATCCTATCATTGATTACATTAGGGATTGGGGTTAGAACTCACTAAATTGTTAGGAATCTGTTAACTTGAGCCTGTGATGCTTTTCCAGAGCATGTTTGATGGGGTGAAATGAAAGCAATGAAAATGAAAAAAATGAAGTGAAGACATTTTTAAAAATTAGGACTTCGTATTTGAAGCATAAGTCGAAGATTCTGTGTTCTGGAAGGTCCATAAACAAATTATGTTCTATTATTTAGTGTTATGGCATCTTAAATGCTTAATTAGTTTTAGAGGGGGAACACAAATTATGAGGTGATGATAAAAATAAACAAAGGCCTCATTTAAAATAAATTATTATTAATGGTTAGCTGAATATGTATTATTTGCCACAGAGTTCACGTATAAGAAGGTAAAAGGAAAATTGAGAAAAAATGTATCCCAAAGAATCAGAAAACTACAAAGAAGAAATAGAGAGTAATCTAAAGTAGAATTATTGGGGAAATGTTTTCAACTTGCACTGAAATGAACATATTAGGTACCACCTAAGTGTACCTAGCACCAAAGGCAATCATTTTTGATACTAAAATGGAGTACTATGTCTTCTGTTTACAATCTTTTTCATCAATTTTTCCCCAACTGACAGTAATAATATCATCAATGTATAATATTATTAAACACATATTCCTCTGTGTGCATATTTCTTTAATTTGAACCTTTCACTTTCTTCAGGGGATTCAAATTATCCTTACAGTTTCTCTGCTTTCAGCAACTCTAGGCACAAGTCCACCTCATCAAGGTGCTCTGGAAAAGCAATGCAGGCTCAAGTTAAAAGATCCTAACGAGTGAGTTCTGACCCCAATTCCTAAGGTAACTAATGATAAGATATTAGGTTGTCATTTATTCTTTCTAGTTATAGATTCTCACTGGTGGGCCAGGCACGGTGGCTCACACCTGTAATCCCAGCACTTTGGGAGGCCGAGATGGGTGGATTACCTGAGATCAGGAGTTCGAGACCAGCCTGATCAACATGGAGAAACCCCGTCTCTATTAAAAATACAAAATTAGCTGGGCTTGGTGGCGTGTGCCTGTAATCCCAGCTACTTGGGAGGCTGAGACAGGAGAATAGCTTGAACCTGGGAGGCGGAGATTGCAGTGAGCTGAGATCATGCCATTGCACTCCAGCCTGGGCATACAGAGAGATTCTGTCTCAAAACAAACAAACAAACAAAAAAACAAAAAAATTTCTCATTGGTAAAGTAAACTGGTTGGACCACAGAATATTTTCTGACATTTTAATGAAGCTGATAGTAACAAATATTGTTGCAGTTGCCCGATTAATATTCAATTATTCCTGTGGCTCATACGATACATTTATCAATGCTCTTGCCACCCAATAACCTTGCCTCTAAAGAAATAACTGCATTAACTATTTTGTTAGCTTTCAAGTGTTCACAAAGTGTGGCAGGGACTATCGGATACCTCTACGTAGCCTTTCTTCCCACCCTCATTAGGGAAAAAATAATGCTTTTCAGCTGGGCACATTGCTCCCAGTCAATATAATAGATTATCAACTTATTTGAAGCCAGTTTTGGTCTCATGATATTTAAGTGGAAGGGCTGTATGTGATTCTAAGAACTGTCATTAAGACGGGGAGGGCACAGTCTTGCTTCTCTTCCTTCTTGCTAGCTGAAGTGCAAAGTGAAATGTTAGCAGTGGTCTTGGAGTGATTTGCAACAGGGATAGAGGAAGAGCAGGATGAAAAAGGACTGTGATCTTGAAGATTGTGGAACGGCCATTTGAACCTAGGGCCACCTGCCTCCACTATTCTTTTATATAAAGCAGAATAAATGTGCATCCATTAAACGTAGCCTATGTAATCTTAACTCACATATGTTTCTTTCTATTACTTCCTGTTGCCTCCTCACATAACCCTATGGGAAGAATGCGATTAAATTCATTTCATCAAAGGGGAATATGAATTGTCCACTGTCACACAACCATTAAAGGGCAGAAACAGATTCCATCTTGGGCTTCTCCTCTGATTGATTTTCTTCCTAGCCAGTCTGTGGTTCTACAATGGTCAAGAGAGACTCATTCCTCTACTTCCCTAGCAGAGCTGTATTGCAAAAGATAACAGCATAATATCCACAGTGGGTGTGCTCTGAAGAACAGAGAGAATCTAGGCCAAACACCATTTTGCTGCTCTGCCCTTTGTTTTTTATTGGCTCTGCTGAGGAAAAATGAAGTGAAGTGTACCTGTGTACCACCACACCAGTCTCAGGCCACCCTGTAGCTAGCAGACTGATTGCAGGTGACGATTGGCCCACTTCTGCAGTGTACGCAGCTACAAGAGGAGGGGATGAGACAAACTCTTAGGACTAGGTCACAAAAAACGTCCACATAGGCTAGGCGCGGTGACTTAAGCCTCTAATCCCAGCATTTTGGGAGGCCAAGGCGGGCGGATCACGAGGTCAGGAGATTGAGACCATCCTGGCTACCACAGTGAAACCCCATCTCTACTAAAAATACAAAATATCAGCCGGGCGCGGTGGCGGGCGCCTGTAGTCCCAGCTACTCGGGAGGCTGAGCCAGAAGAATGACTTGAACCCAGGAGGCGGAGGTTGCAGTGAACCTGGATCACACCATGACACTCCAGCCTGGTAATAGAGTGAGATTTCATCTCAAAAAAAGAAAAAAAAAAAAAATTCCACATAGAGTTACATCGAAGGAGTGAACTTGTATTCCATCACTTCTTTCATGATGTTCATCTCCAGGAATTGTGGTAAATATATTTAACTTACGCTAGCTGTGCTGTGCTGAATCCCCCTCATACTGGTTCACAAGAACCAACTGTTAAGCAGAGCTATTATTAAAACTTCCACTACATAAGCTATAAATTAAATAAATTACATGAAACACAACATTCATAACGATTCAGAATTTATCTCTACACTTTACTTTCATATAGGTTCTTGAGGTCATTTACATTTGTTGTGACTATATGATGGAAATATCATATAATTGTGTGCTGTTAGGCATCTCTTCCCAACTCCCAGCTCAGTTCCATATATGGTAGCATGAAATCAACCATGGTGGGAAATTCGCACCATGAAAATTAACAACTGCTATATATCAGGGCATTCCTCTGACCATTCCTCCCTGGAGAGAACTGGTTGTTAAGCATCCACCAGCACACCCCTACCTTTGGGCCTCAATGCCTTTGTCGTTAGTGTACTCTGGAAGAATAAAGGCAGTATAATTTGGGGGAAGCAGGACATTGAGTCGTCAGGTTTTGTGAAGATAACAAGACCATCTTTCTCTTCCTTTAGGCCAAAGCCTCTAAATAGTTCAGTAATGAACATTATATAATTTGTATTATTTTAGCTTTGAAGCTAATTTTCATGCAGTCTGTGAGGTTTGAGTGTAGTTAGTGTGTGGATATATCAAGGAGATAAGTGCAACAAAACTAGAGACTGACTCTACTCTAATATAGTCCCTGAGGTGTTTTTTGGTGGGTGGTTGTCTGTTTTTCGTTTTGTTTTGTTTTGTTTTTAAGATGGAGTTTCGCTCGTGTTACCCAAGCTGGAGTGCAATGGCATGATTTTGTCTCACTGAAACCTCAGCCTCCTGGGTTCAAGCAATTCGCCTGCCTCAGCCTCCCAAGTAGCTGGGATTACAGGCGCCTGCCACCATGCCCGGCTAATTTTTGTATTTTTAGTAGAGACGGCGGTTTCATCACATTGGCCAGGCTGGTCTGGAACTCCTGACCACAGGTGATCCACCCACCTCAGCCTCCCAAAGTGCTGGGATTACAGGCATGAGCCACCGCACCTGGCCCAGTCCCTGAGGTTTTTTCTAAACAAATAAGCAAAGGGAGTCCCTTCCCATTAAGAGAAAAGTATAGCAATATAAAGGTAGGCACAGCCACTTTTATTACATTTCATACCAATAATTGCAGTCTCTAAGGGGACAGTAATCTGGCAGTAGCCAGAAATGTTAAGTCTACCCTGATTCTTTGTCAGTTAATTTAAATTTCTTCTTTTTTTTTTTTTTTTTTTTT